TTTATATTTTTTTAAAAAAATATTAAACAAAATTAATAATTGTTTAGTTTCCTTTTTTAGACAGGTCAGGTCAAGTCAGGTCAGGTCAAATGTATATTTAATTCAGGTCAATTTTATGTCTGACCTGACCTGACCTTATCAGGTTGGGTAAGTCAATTATCTAACCCAACCCAACCTGTTCGGAGCTCTAGTCTAATTTATATTACCATTCTCTATTACTACCTACTTGTATCCGTTTACGATCAATATTCATTTGTAAGAATTTTTTACCAAGAATATTACTATTTAATACTTGCTCATTATTTTTATTATACTAAGCAAGATAATCCTGATATAAAGTAACGCAACATATTTGTTTGCAAAGAACGTCATCAGGCCATAATTAAACATAATCTATTATGAATTGTTCAGCATTAGAATAAAACACTTCGCTAGAGCTTACTATCTTATTTTGCTTTTCATTCTCCTGACAGATAATTGTATTTTTAAGCCTTGTATTTTCATCTCTAAGTTCATTAACTTGTTCTCGTAATGAATCTATTTCTAATTGCATATTTAAAATCTTGCGAGTTAATGTAAGCTCAATTTGTAAATCAGTATTTTGCCATCTCAAAGAATAACATTCAGAATTTATTATTATTTAATACACTTTAGAATAATTATTTTTTACATATTTTCAATATTAGAGCATTATCAAAGTGAGGCATGATCTTTCTACTATATTATTAGGAGATATATATGCCAAAGTTTTTACCGTCACCATGAAATTGCATCCTTATAAAATTAATACCAAATTTTCATGAGGTAATTCATAAGGTTAACCTTGATATCATTTTTGGGCTTCTTAGCTTGTTTTATTGAATTCTTTATTATCTGTCCTTAAGAACTTTATCAATCCTAAAGTTCTAGGGAAAAAAATCGAAATTTTTCTATGGTATATTACTTGGATAAATATAGTCATGTATGGTATATATAAAAAAAAATAAAAGAAGATAAAGAGTTTGAAAATTCATAGGGCTCTTATTAAGGCTCTTAAGAACAAGTAGTAAATTGCCTTCCCAAAGTTCTAAAATCATTAAAGAAATACTTCTAGTGTCCTTATTAAGTTTTTTTGCTATCCCTATAAATTTTTCATGAGCCAAAATTTTTTGATAAATCATTAAGGCCAACTTATAGCATTAGATATTTTATTTTATCGAGAACCTGATTCTACTTTCAGGATCTGACAGTTTTGAAACATCTTATCCAACTTTTTCTGATGATAATATACGTTTGAGTGATACTTTTTTACATGCCAATCACAAAATCCATATTCAGAAGCTGTCAGTCTTTCACATCCATCTTGTTTACATAGAGGTCGCTAACGCCTTTTCCAGTGAATATAACACCATTCTGGTTTTCTACTTCCCTGCCCACAAACCTCCCTTTCATTGAAATGATACTGGCAAATGTATTTACCATCTATTGATATTATTCTTAGATAAATAACACTTTGATATCTATAATTATTTATTTTTATTTTAACCTTTTTTGTTGGGGTATTATTATACTGAAACGGTATACTAGATAACATATCCGAAAATTTTTACTATGACACAATCTGAGATTTCAGAGTTCCTCTCTGATGCTCCTGCTCCTTACAAACAAGGTTATAAAGCTGAAGATATCAGTGAATGCTTATATAAAATTCGTGATAATAGTGTTAGACCAAGACATTTCCTTAACGTAGACAATGAGGATGAAATAGAAGCCATACTTTCAGATCGTGAAGGCTATTCTTTACATAAATATATTAATGGTGATGAGCCACTCTGGCCTATCATAGATTTTGATTTGCTAATAGAAATGCTAAATGCTATTTCATCTAAGCTATCAGACAAACAGGCTAAAAACACATTTTGCAATGCTTTTAGAGATGTCTGTCTAGAAATATTTCCAAAATGAGATAAAAAAACTATATCTATTGCTGATAGTAGTGATGCAAAAAAAATAGCTCTCCATGTCTCAACTTTCAGTATGAGACTTTCAAGCATTACTCAGGTTGCAGTATTTATTGAGCTTATTCGTGAAAAACTCCCAGTAGGATTACAGGATAAAGGTATTGTAGACAATATAGCAAACAAATGATCATTTTCTTGCGAATGTTTGGATCATCCAAATACAATGAAAAAACAGAAAAACATGTTCATATAAAAAAAGCTATTTGTCCAAAAAATGGATCTATCTTCGACTTCATGATTTGCCCACCCAATAATGAATCAGAAATCATTTACAACAGTCCTCTCTTGGCTATTCCAGAAACAGAAAGTGTAAAATATGTTAACATAAGTAATGAGACAACCATAGCTGAATTTGAACTAGTAGAGACTATACATGAAGTTGAAATGGATCATTTCGGATATCTGAAATGGTCGAAATGGTCGAAATCATTTCGACCATTGGAGGCTAAAGTCACGAAATAGTCAAAATGACGTCATATCACATGATTTTTCATATTGAGAAAAAACAATAAACAAAAAATGTACAATCTCTGTCAATATCATATCGCACTGATTTGTATGAAACAACTACCATTTGATTTCTTGTGACTTGATGGATCCAATGATCTAACATTCATTGATTTTGGATCATCCAATCGTGAGATAATCACAATTGTATTATCAGCTGAAATTACTAATCAATAAATTCTACTTTAAATAAAGAAGTCTAGATTTCAAAATATGATCACGAATATCTCGAGATGAGCTGATCCAAAATCAATGAATGTTAGCTCATTGAATTCGTCTAGTCGCAGGAAATCAAATGGGGATGGTAATTTTTCAGATTTTTACTTTTTTTAATGGAAGTGAAATTTTTTTCTATTGGTTAAGATAAGTTTACAAATCAGAATTGTTTTTTTTTTGGATTTTTACTATTTTTTTTTCTTTTTTTAATAGAAGTTGACTTTTTTGCTATTGGTAAAGATAAGTCTACAAATCAGAATAGTGGTTTTGGAAATTTTTACTAATTTTTTCTTTTTTTTAATAGAAGTAGACTTTTTTGCTATTGATTAAGATAAGTCTATAAATCGGAATGGTAGTTTTTTCAGATTTTTACTAATTTTTTTCTTTTTTATTAGGAGTGGATTTTTCTTGCTTATTGGCTAAGGCATATTACAAATCAGGACTCTTTTGTTATTATTTTTTGGATTTTTACTATTTTTTTTCTTTTTAGTAAAAGTGTATTTTTTTGCTATTGGTTAAGATAAGTCTACAAATCAGAATAGTAGTTTTTTTAGATTTTTACTAATTTTTCTTTTTTAATTGAAATGAACTATTCTTGCTTATTGGCTAAGATAAATCTACAAATCAGAACTTTTTTGGTAATGTTTTTTCAGGTTTTTACTAATTTTTTTCTTTTTTTAATAGGAGTGATTTTTTTTCTTATCAAATATAGCAAATAATTAAATTTAATAAATTTGTAACAATTGAAAGCTTATTATTTATAATATATTTTTCTTATAATTAAAGTATTATAT